GGGCTGCATTGCAATATTGATTGTTCGGATCATTGGTATCTAAGTCTTCCGCTGTGCTATCTTATACTTTGTATTGAGAGGTCGGTTCTTGTTCTGGTCTGCACCGTTACAGTATGCAACAATCACACACACCACAACTAAACATTAATCTACGGTGCAACCTAGGTGAAAGTTAAGGAGTTGTAGTGCAGCACGCTGAGGCCTGTATAGTGGCCCTTTTTCTTAGGGCCCGATGGTTGTTAGAACCCCCCAGGCAGCACACCCTTTTTTGGCTGTGCAATGTGGAGGCCCGCGGCCATTTCCAGGCCAGGCCCGTTTTTCTGCCTCATGCAGGTTGTTCGTTTTGATTCAGCATTTATTTATTGCCTTATTAAAGGCTTATTTGTCTTTTTGCTGAGTCTTGGTGTTTTTTTTCGATTCAGCATTTATTTATTCCCTTATTTATCTTTTTGCTAAGTCTTGTTGTCTTTTGTAATGAACCCAGTCTGAAAGATACTCATCAGATATCGAAGTACAAGAAATCTCAGCGCCGAAAAAGTCTCCAATAATCATGAATGTGATACAGTGTCTCGTAACCAATAGACGAAGAGAGGAAACGGAGATTAGACGGATTAGAAGGTGGAAGAGATGGTATCAATCAATGACCACAGAGATAGTAGCCCAACATTACCTCTCCTTCTCCGGGCTTCCCCTCGCCTCCACGTCAGTAAACAGTGTCCAATAACGAGCCAGACAGGTCCTGATCACATCAAAGTGCCACGTCGCACAGTTCTCCCGTGAAGACGTGCAGCGGCGTACAGTATCAACATCACTAGCAGCTAAATATCCTCCCTCTCTCAATCCTCCACATCTCCCGATCTCCCTCCTTGTCGCGTCCAACTCAACATTGAAGACAGTATGGCCAATGCCACGTCGGCTAGGAAGACAGCATGGCTTGCACCACGTCAGCAGATTCGAAGATAGCGTGGCCTTGCCAACAGAGGCTGGCGCTGAAGCAGGACGGCGCCAACATGCAGCAGCAGTCTCGCATCGTCGTCCACAGTGCCAGCGTACAGCCAGCGTCTAGCCAGCGTCAAGCCAGCGTCCAGCTAGCATCAAGTCAGCATAGCAAGACTGGATGTTGACTCCTTGGAGCCAGGGTCTTATGTAGCATTTGACTGGATTGACCTTCCTCAGGTCTCCCACCCACGGTGGCTCAGATTGACTCATAGTTGACGGCCTGGATCCCTTACAGTTGCAAACTCCCACTTGGCCTCAATGTTGTCTTGGTACCTACATACAAACAAGTGCGTGTGTCTGACCGGCGGTCTGGGCTGGGTCCACGGTGACTTTGACTGAGGGTCGTGTACAGTTGACTTTTGGTCAACTGTCTGGCGTAGGGCCCTTGAATCCACACATTTGGGGTCCTGCCTCTACGTAATGCGTCCTAGGCCGGCGCCGGCCTGGGGCCCTTAGACAGGTTACGAGGCATAACGAACGGGTTGTTGGATTGCCGCCGGCCCAGTTTTCGAGTTCCATCGCAGAAATACATTAACTTTCTTTTAACCCGCGTTCATATGCAGCAATAAGATTAGGGGCAGTAGGTAGTAGTTCTTTCTTACTAAACCATCGAGCTTTAGATGGAGGTTGAGACTTGAACTGTACCTTATATTGCTTTTGCGGTCTTCCTCTGCCACCTGTAAAGAAGTAGCCACGTTCCAAAATCTTTTCAACTTCATAGCCTCCATTCATGGAGGTTGGGAGCACAGATGGTCTGTTACGGAACTCATTTCCTTCTACATATGGCAAAAAGTTTAGACGCGTGAAAGACAGGATAGGTCTTAAGGTGTGGGGTACATCATTTCGGTAGGAGGGTCCATTTGCATCCCCAATCACCTTGAGAACTTCCCAGGGTCCATTTTACGCAAGC